GAATACAACCCTGGTACACACCTTTCCTGATTGTAAACAACTCGGTGTCCCCTTGTTCTGTTTGAACAACTGCCTCTTGGTCTATGTACAGGTTCCTCATGAGCACAATTAAGTATTCCAAAATACTCAGTGTCAGCGATGTTGTCCATCACTTGTCATGATTCATACAGTCAAAAGCCTTTGTATAGTTAATAAAATACAGGCAGACATCTTTCTGATATTCTCTGCTTTCAGTTAAGATTCATCTGATATCAGCAATAATATCACTCATTCTGTGTCCTCATGTGAATCCTTTTTAAAGCTTGTCATTGTACTCTTGAAGCAGTTTTTGATTTATCTTTAGCAAAATTTTACTTGTATGTGATACTAATGATATTGTTAGATGATTTCTGCATTCCATTGGATCACCTCTCTTTGGAATGGGCACATTCTCACCTTCTTTCTCATCTTCTTAATAAAACCCTTTTCTTCTTCTTTATGATGTTCTTGATGTCATCCCACAACTCTTCTGCTCTTTGGTCATTAGTGTCTAATGCATCAAATGTTTGATAATATCTAAGAAGGTTTCATCATTTTGCTTGCTTTATGCTCAATCACATTCTTAGTTGTGTACAAATATCCTCTTTCAAACTCATTATATTTATGGGCTATATCAATATATATACATTCCACTCTTAGTTCTAAACCCAGTCTGCCTGTGTCCATGTACCCATTCTTCCAAGGTGGGTTATATATCATAATAATTCGGTTCCATTTAGCTCTTGCATACCTCCCTGTGGTTTCACCTATCTTCTTCATTCTCCTGCCAACCTCCCTCTTCTTGCATACTGCCCTCTTCCTGGCTTCAAAAAGTATGTAGAAAATTCCATTATCTTTAAATTCTATTTTTTTTTTACAAACTTTTTGAATTACCCCTCATGTGACCTTGTTGAGTTTAACTGATAACCAAAGGAAAATCCTATTTTCAATATGCAGGTGTAGGGATTAGGACTCCAACATGCTTTCTTGGGGGAAACAATTTAATCCATAGAAGAGTCCTGGTGATGCAGTGGGTCAACGGCTCATCAAAAGGTCAGTAGATAGTTAAAACCCACCAGCTGCTCCCAGAGAGAAAGATGAGGCAGGCTATTTCTGTAAAGACTGAAACCTTGGAATCCCTGGGGAAAGTCCTCCTCTGTCTTCTAGGGTGGCTGTGAGTTGGAATCACCTAAATGGCAGTGGGTAATTTAATCTATAGCAGAAATTTAGTTAAAGAAATAATAAAAGGGCCTTGTTGGAAAGCGATTGGTGGTTTGGACAAGGCTATATCATTGTTTGGCAAGGTACTCGAACCTGCATTTTACTAAGTCCTCACACCTCTTAAGTAACTAACACATTAAAGTGCCGAGTGTATAATTAGGGAAAATGTGACGCTCTCTTGCTCTCATGTTCTCTAATTCAACATGATTCTGAGTCCCTATGTTTGCTACAGATGAAAAGAGCTTTCTTAATACTTCATACTGCATTCACTAATTGTGACATATGAGAACCAGGAGGGTTTTTTTTTTTTTAATTTCTTCCCTTCTTAGCATCCAGTATCTTTTTCTAAAATTCACTATAATTTCCTTCATCAAGTTTGATTGCCAGTGGTAAGTGGTGTTTGAGGACCTTGTTCCCTGTGTGGAGATTGTGGGCCAGGCAGATGACAAAGGCATTGGTGAACTAAAAGCCTCTTCAAGTCTCTCCTACCCCAATGATTTTAAATATGTAAACATAGCTTTCTTAGCAATGTCTTTGGTACACCTTACTTTTAAAAACAACGCTCATGCTTGGTGTCCCTCGGCCCTGTTTTGAGTGAGTGAAATTTGCCAGTCCGGGTTTGTAGCTCTGATTCCCACAAGTCTTCTTTCAGAAATGAGCAGTGGAGGCAGGTTGCTGCTGGATGTTGGGAGGGATGTTTGCCTGTTTCTGACTTATTATTGGAGTCCTGTTGGGTACACACTGGACTGAAAGGTCGGTTTAAACCAGAAGGTCAGTGGTTCAAACTCACCAGCTGCTCTTTAGAAACCCTACACAGGGTCACTCTGAGTCTGAACCAACTTGACAGCACTTACCAATAAGAACAATTGCTTAATTATTATGTTTTGATAAGCCCGTGTTCAGAGTTTTAAAAGTTAGTTCACATATTTATTTGGATGCATATAATAATGTTGGAGAGAATTGCAATGTTGAAAAGCTCCCCTTTTTATGCACGGGCTCCTTAGTGTCCTGGATTTCCATAGCTATGGAATGAATGCTTGGAGAAAATACCCAGAGAAATGCCACCAGGAAAAGGAATCTAATAACCACTATTGGTGGTTTACAAATAGGTCACACTGAAATGTAGAGGCAGGCGAACATTATTAGGAAAGTTCATTGATATTTGTTGATTCATCAGTTAATTAAAAAAAAAATAATCTCTGTTTCTATCAAACCAGCTCAAGACTCAGAAAGAACGACTGGAGAGTAAGGAACTACACATGACCCTCCTCCGGCAGAAGCTAGCCCAGCTTCAAGAGGAGAGGCAGGCGCGCACAGCCCTGGCGGTGGAGAGGGACGAGGCCACCGTCGCCAGCCGGAAGCTGGAGAAGAAGGTGGACAGACTGCAGAAGGAGCTGAGTGCCTGTCGAGTATCGAACACTGAGCTCAAAGCCAAACTTGCTGACACCAATGAGCTTAAGGTAAGAGGCCAGCTTCATTTTTTTTTTTTTTTTTTTGGTCTAGTCTCCATAGCATTCCTGGTGTGGCGCTGTAGGATAAACATTGGACTGGTAACTACAAGGCCAGTGGTTCCAAGCCACCAGCCTCTCCTCAATAACCCTATACAGGGTCTCTGTGAGTTGGAATCGACTCGATGGTACTAAACAAGTACAACAATAAAAGTGGATGTAAAAGACAAAACGGCTAGGTAATGTTTGCCCCAGAAAAAAAAGAACTGTGCTGAATATCCAGAGTTGTGAGAAAAGTAGAAGTTTATCACACAAATCAGCGTAGTGTCTCTTCAGAATTTGAAATGAAGCTGTAATTGCTGGGTGAAAGTTCAGCCAAAGAGAAGTGTATGATAGGTACAGAAAAGCATGTGGCTTGGGCACAAGTGGAGTCCCTAAGTGGTGGAAACATTTGAAGTGCTTGGCTGCTTGCCATAACAAAGGGTAGAGGTTTGAATTCACCTAAAAGTGGCTCTGAAGGAAATAAGAAAATCAGGCATTGAAAAGCACATTGGACCCTGACATACCTGGGGTCGCCTTGAGTTGGCATGAACTGGATGGCAACCAGTGGTCGTGGTGGTTGTGGTCTTCGGGATTGTGTCAGGACATAACACATAGGGATTTGCTTAGGAAGATGTGAGACAATGAACACAACTCTTTTCTAGGGAGCGTTAGCCAGGCTGCAGTACTTCTGTTGCGCCGTGGCGGTGCAGGGAGAGAACATGCTTGGGAGACAGGGTTCTTGAATTCAAGCCATTTAATGTCTAATGAATATGGCAAGAAAGAAGTGAATGCTGAGAAGGACTTAATCCAAACAGTCAAAATGTCAAGGATAAGAACCGAATATACAGCATCATCGCTGGCAGAATGCATGTCATCAGTACCGTGACGAGAATGGCTGAGCTCCTGGAAGAACACTGTAAAGCTGACTTCTGGACTCTTTCCAAATCTGGAAATGGCTCAGTAGGGAAAGAGAGTTTGGAATGCAGCCAGCCTTTGAACATGTGTAGCGGGGATAATATTTTAGAAAATGTTTTCCCACCGTATTTTTCCCTTCGGAGTAATTAGCTCTTCGCCTCTGAAGCCCTTCTGCCAAGACTAGGTCATGAAGTTGAGACTTGTGTCCCTATGGAAGGGGCAGGTATGGCTCAGGGCAGGGAAGCACCCGTGGGGTGCAGTGGTTGTGGAGGAAGTACCAGAGGTATGTAAGTATCCTCCACCCCTCCTTACCTTTCAGACGGACCTTTGGGGAGGGTGGCGAAGGAGCCCTGAGGTCGGCATTCAGCTGCTCCCACAGGACTGGAAAGGTGCCTGTATGGCACCCAGGCTCCTAGAAGCCTGATGCTCAGCATGTACTTTGGGGGACTCTGGAAAATTTCTCACTCACTGTGGGAGCAGGTGGGGTGTTCACTCACTGTCCGTACAGTGGAGGCTCTGGGACAGATGGCCTAAGTTGAGATCCAGTACCACTGACAGACAAGTGTTGAGTTCTCAAAGCCCAGCATGGTGTCTGTGCTCTGTGTCCCTTTGGTTGGACTGTGGTCAGCTGTTTGGTCAGACACTAGTCTGGATGCTGACATGAAGGTGTTTTGCAGGTATGATTGCAGGTGGAGTTAGTGGACTGTAAGGAAAGGAGATTGCCACTCCCTTAATGTGGGAGAATCTTAGTGCAAACTGATCTTTTTCGGGAGAAGGAGGAAGTTGGCCTCAAGAAAGTACCAAAAATCCTACTTGGTTTTCCAGCCTGCTGCCTGACCTGTAGGTTTCAGGCCTGTCAGATCCTATGATTACATTAGCCAGCTCTTTGAAAGGAAGGAAGGAAGGAAGAAAGAGGGAGGGAAGAAAGGAGGGAAGGGAGAGGGAGAGACCATAGCTCTATCTCCATACCCATATCAGGTTCCAGACAGAACCTGTCTCCAATTGGTTCCATTTCTCTGGAGAACCCTAGTTGACCAGCCCATGACCCAGCCTTGCCTTGGGGAGTGAACCTTCATAGACTTCACCTGTCAGATGTTAGATGCAAGAAAGATTCCAGAGCAGCTTGTAGACATGAAACATCTCTCCTAATAATGCTATAAGAGTGTTCTCCCACCCAGATACCATCTCAGGAAGAAAGGGGAGAGAAGAATCCCTGAAAGATTGAGCAATGCTGGAAAGAAAAAAGAAGTCAAACTGGAGGAAATAGAGTTAGCTCCAAAATGCTATCTGCTCTAACAGTTTGGTGTGATGGTGGTAGGGAGATGATTTCTTATCCCCCACCCCCCACACACACACACCATCCCCCTCCCAAAAAATAGCCATGCGAAGCTTGTTTTGAGGTTGAAATGGATGGGACTTGATAGGAGCTGTGGAGTATGTGTGAGCTGAACTCCACTCCACCCCAACCCTGCTCCCCAGCTGGTGGTCCTCATTCCCTCACAGGGTCTGTGCTTTTTGGGCTACAAGAGCATTGTTTTGTTAAACAGAACGCAGAGTCCCTAAATAGGGAATACCACCATATTTTTTGTAGGATAAACAATGAACTTTGAACCACAAAGTCAGCAGTTTGAGCCCACCAGCTGCTCTGCAGGAGACAGGTGAATCTTTCTGCTCCTGCAAGACTTACAGATTCAGATACCTTATACAGGGTCGCTGTGAGTCAGTACCGATTTGATGGCCCTTAACAACAACAGCAACAACATCAATAGTGACCACAGATTCTTCCAAAGAAAGAAAAAGACAAAGAAATGGAAGCAAGTGGTAAGACAGCGCCTAGTGGGGAGACAGCATGGAGTAATAAAGAAAAAAAGGCATTACCACTATTGTTGTAGTTGTTATGTGCCGTGGAGTCAGTTCCGACTCATAGCGACCCTGTACAGGGTTTCCGAGGCTCTAAATCTTTACCGGAGCAGAAAGCCTCATCTTTCTCCCACGGAACAGCTGGTAGTTTCGAACTCCTGACCCTGAAGTTAGCAGCCCGATTCGTAACCACTGTTAGCTAAAGTATAATACAGAGCTTTGCAAATAAAGCAAAATGCTGGGCTTCGGAAGAGGGTAGAGTATTTGCAGACCTGAGCTAACACTTTTGAAAATTTTTACCCTAACGGAGGTGGTTGTAGAGAGGTTATAGCTTATCAGGAGGTGTCCAATTTTTCTTAAATACAAATAGAAATATCTTTCCAATAAATCTTCTGTCAAGATTTTACAAACATAAACCATTTCCCAATTCTGTTATGATATTTGGCACAACATTGTTTTCCATCAAGAAATTCTTTAATTCTCTTGGTATGGGAATAAACAGTATTACCAGAGAAACTTGTATGTTCTAGTGCTCTGAGCTCTTGGGTAGAAATATGAACAAAAAAGGTGGTGCCTTTTCCAACAGTAAGTTTTAACTTTGGATAAGGAAGGAGGATGGTATTGGAGGTGAGCAGCTGGCTGGGTTGATGGTGTCAGAAATAGGAGTAAAAAATCCAGATCCTGGCTTAGGGTATCAGAATAGTTGGTTCTCAATATCCTAAACCAAGACATGATGTCCCAAGATAATGTGCATATCTCACAAGAAACAATATAGCTGGGGATTGACTAGCATCAAGACTGTTTTAAAGGCTACTTAGACTTTTACATATTTTGATTGATACTTTTGTGTAATAATATGTGAGTGTTCATTGGAGGACATCTACTGCCAACATGCTCCCAATAATCAGAGGAACCAAACAGTACGTTCTTTGGAGGTCAGCCTCTTCCGGTGCCGCCCTGCTGCTTCCTCAATGGATTCACATACAAATGGCTTGGTCATGGGGCCAGGGAAGGATAGGGGCTACCCATGAACTTCCCTTCACCAAGGCTGATTTGGCTACTTCTATTGTTTTCATTGTTGTTGTTGTTGTTGTTGTCAGGTGCCATCGAGTCGGAACCGACTCATAGCGACCCCATGCACAGCAGAACGAAACAATGCTCGATCCTGGGCCAACCTCTCTGCTCTATGCATAGCAGAGAAACATTGTTTTCATTGTTAAGTACTGTCAAGTCAGACCCTGTATAGGATTTCCAAGTAGTGGGCTTGAATCGCTCACCTTGTGATTAGTAGTCTAGTGCTTAGCCTACAGCACCACACCAAGACTACCCCCTAATCAATCAAAATCAGAGAACAAAGCCAAGCCCCCAATATGACACCATTCCCCAAGGAACACTAACCAGCCACCAGGTATCATGTTAATGACAGGAAACCCCTCCCATTGTGGAACTGCTGTTGTTAGCTGCCATCCAGTTGGCTCCAACTCATGGCGACCTTATACATAACGGAATATAATGTTGCTTGGTCCCGAGCCAGCTCATCATCATCGGTATGTTTCAGCCCATTGTTGTGGCTGTGGTATGCATCTCGCTCATTGATGGGTTCCCTTGTTTTTGCTGACTTTACCAGACCTCATGTTCATTTCTATCAATTGGTCTTTCCGGAAACAAGTGAAAAGTAAGCAGGTCTAAGTCTTACCATCCTTTTTTCTAAGGAGTGTTCTGGTTGTATGTCTTCTATGACTGACTTGTTCATTCATCTCGAAGTCCGTGGTATGTATATTCAATAGTCTTTGCCAAAACCACTGTTTGAATGTACCAGTTCTCCTTTAATCTTCCATTTTCATTGTCTACCTTTTGTATGCATGTGAGGCAATTGAAAAAATGATGGCTTGAAAGAAGTACACCTTAGTTATCAAAGTGACACTTTAAATTTAACACTTTAAAGAGGTCTTTTGCTTTTAATTGTTAACACTTTAAAGAGATCTTTTGCTATGGATTTGCCTAATGCAATATGACATCATTTGATTTTTTGACAGCCGCTTTCATGGATATTGATTATTGATCCAAGTAGAATGAAATCATTGATACACGATTTAATTTTGCTAAGCTATTAATAAGAATGTGTGGTACCAACTCAAATCTTTGAGTTGTGAGTTGTGAGGATGGTACAGGACCATGGGATGTCTTCTTCTCTT